AATTCCGAGGCGACCATTTAGTTGTCTCGGTATAGCTTTCAAGATCCAGATAAAGAATGATTCAGTCATGTAAAAGTCAAGTCCTGGATGTTCAGTTATGTGAATGCTCAGGCTAGTCATGTTAAGTCACGGATAGTCTGTCTAATAAGACAAGACTTATCAGTCATTTTAAGTATATCCAGTGCCTCGATTCTCAAATGTAGATGATTTGAGAACTCGTAGGAAAGATCAGTTCATAATAAACTTTTCTTGAGGTTATGTTTGACCTCAGGGAAGGTAAACAGTTGCAGGTACAACCTGTCGATATACGACACGGCGAAGAAGATCAATCAACAGCAACGGATCATGCCATGATGACAACCGAGCTTTCCGTTCAAGTATGCATGACGCCAGAAGAGAAGGATGCCATACCATGTTGAGTCACAGTACACTGGGAAATCACAGAGAGTTAGTATTATAGTACATTGAGGTTACTAACCGAGATACAGATATGATCAGCCATACGGACTACGTCGATGTCGCAGGTACAATGTTCGCCAGGTGTTGTATGCAGGTGTGCCGCACTCACTTGATGAGGAGCAGGTATGCCGCATTACAATGTGCCGCGAAGGATGTGCCGCGTATCGAGTAGATATTTACGAAAGGTAGTTGCCAGAATTGCTAGTCATCCTCTTTTGTACATATGCATATCTCTGAAATTTTTTAGGAGTACTAATGACTGGGAGTTTCCACAACCAACGTTCAGACTGAAGATCAGTAATCAGCCAGGAGATGAAGACCAGCACGTTCACGACTTATGTTTTTAATATCATGTGTAATGGAACACTTTATTTCAGAAAAGTGTCCCGTTCCAGTCAGTATTAATCATCAACTCACTTAATTGTGACTTGTTGATTCCTCAGTTAAAATCAGGTCTAATGATCAGTATTCAATACTGAATCCTCAAGTCATGTCAGCGATAAGTATAAGCTTCAAGTTAAGCTTGTACATTCAGTTTAGTATTTCCGAGGATGGAAATATTTTAAGGAGGGTGGATTGTAACACCCCGAGTTTTATTAATAAAAGAAAATACTAGCTTTTAGTTTTAAGCTAGCCTTTATTAATAAATAATCATGTTCATGTTCAAGTTCAAGTGATTCAACCAGTTATATTCCAAGTTCGACTATTAGTCGATATGATATTCGATTTGATAATCGAAAAAGTTTTCAAATTTAATTCCGATTCATTTAATTAGTTAATGAGTCCGGAATTAATAAGCCAAGTTGACGAACTATTTGAAATATTAATGTTCGGATTAATCGTCTAAGTCAAGAATGTTCGAATTAAGTTTCAAATGTCATATTTATGTTCGGAATAATTTTCCGGCAGTTAATTAAGTTAAAGTTCCTTACGTTAAGTTCGGTTTTCTTATACTGTGATGCGTTCACATTAGGTGCACCGTCCATCATTAGTTAAGTAATGGTATTAAACCTTGCTTATTTAGCTTAACCCATGTTTAAGCTAACTAACCATAATTAGTTTATAATCATGGTTAGTTTAATGTTAATGATGATTAATTAACATTAATCACGATTAGTTTAATATTAATCATGCTTAAGGATAATCATGTATATTTAGTCTTAATCCATGCTTAATCTATTAATCCATGCTTAACGTGTTAATCTATGATTAGCCTTATTAATCCATGTTTATGCTTAACTAAGTATGCTTAAGCTTAGTTAAGTAATGCTCACGCCATCTACCATCCTTGAATGCCACCTCGAGTGCTGACTAAGCCACGCAAGTGCCACGGGAGCACGTGGTGATGGCAAGTGTCGTCTCCAGAGAAAGAGTCATCCTCCACCTCCATCAAGTATTCTATATAAATCAAGTAGTAGCCGTGAGTTTCCTCATGCAAAATTGAGCCAACTTCAGCCTAGAAATTGAGAGAAAATAGTGAGTAAAGTTAGAGGAAAAATCGTACAAAAATAGCTAAGGAAAGCCGAAGCAAAGGGGAAGCAAGTGCACGCCCGCCCGAGCACCGAACACGCACATAAGTCACTGTGCATTCTTCGGCTAAACTGAAGGGTATACTTCTAATTACCCTTTTTTCATGTAATTAAGTTCATGTTAGCAAGGTTATATCGATATCATGTCGTTCGGTCTATGTTTTGTACGAAAATGGCCTCGGGAGTGCTATATAAGCCCTCTCCGAGTGATTTCAAAATAGAACCGGCAAGTCCTGATTTTCAGTCATTTTAAGTCATTTTATGTTCAGTCATATAAGGTTTGCCGGAAAAAGTTGTCGGACGGCCGGCGAGAGGCCGACCGTAGTGCCTGTCCGCACACAGCGTGCGCACGGCACGCCCGGCAGTCTCAGCGGGTACACTAGCTGCGTCCGCACACCCAGCAGTGCGTGCGTGTAACCAGTGCCCCGCAGACAGTCATGAACTGCCGCAGTCATGTGCGTGGGCGACCCAGTGCACGCCAACACGCACGACAGCGCGCAGCCAGTCCGTCCGCGTACACTGCAGCGCGTCACACGCCTGATGAGGATCGTGTGTTTCGATTGCCGATAAGCCGCT